CCCCCCCCCCCCCCCCATGATCCCCGGCCTCTCCCAACCATAGATATCTTATATACACTAGATAGCACATCTCTTTTAGTAAAATTGAAGCCAAGAATATTCCAGCGGTTACCCCCATTTGAATAGATGGTGGCCATGTTGGTCGTTCCCACTTGCTAATAAACGCTAAAAAACAACAATAACTTTCATCATTTGAATAGTTTAAAAACGTATTTGGAATAGGGTTAACTTAATGTTTAAGTTCCCTGTTTAAGAAATAGAAAACATATGAATCTTCTCATTTCATGGGAATATCCTGAGTCTGCAATCACGGCTTCAATTTTTGAATTGCAGAATAATTAGATGCACTATAGATGAGTGTATTATAAGATATCTATGCTCCCAACCCACCACCTCATAGATAATAACCAGCGGTTCCTCCTAATCGAACTTTTGCGAGAATATGTCATGAAAGTACAAACATTACTTTTTTAGTAACTAGTTTACAGTGTTCTGGGAATTCAACCCGGAAACGAACAAGTACTGTGTCTTCGCAATTTTCAAGAGTAGATCAGCGACTGTATATAGATCAGGAAATTTAATTGTCTGGTATTATACCAGTCAGAATATTTTAATATATTACTGTAACTTTGTATTTCAGCCAACTTGAGTCGTTCCAAAAAAGTCAACCGTAAATTTCTATCAGAGGGTGAGGACAGAAAAGGTTGTTTCTGATGATAGTAAATGTACTAGCTAGGACATTCGAGGAGGGTAGAGGGGGTTAATTTAATTTCCTGCGTGGGGGGGAGGTATGGATGTTTTCTGGAATGATCCATTGTAAATTACTTAATACAATACATCGTTTGTTGAAAAAACTAACATATGCCCGAGTTATGTAGATGGCTCCCCCTTTGAAAACCACGTTATTAAAATATGGAAAGTGGGGTATAACGATGTGGAATTATAATTACTGCATTTATTTCAGACAATGTAACTCCACTCCCAAAATATAAAGAACATGCACTCAGTAACTTAACGAACATGAAAATATGCAACAGCTAAATAATCCATTTTTTCTATACAGTACTAAATTCGTCCCGAACACGGACACTGTTTTTTTGTTTTGGAATTTTTAGCTATTTTGCCAAACGAAAAAATCTATAATCACCCGAGGAAAACCAGAAGTGCCATGGACAGTCGCTGTAAATGGCGAGATCCGGTGAAAAACCTTGGCGATTATGAATGCCGCATACCGGAAACCCCGGGGGAACCCTCATGCATCTATAACCGGAATACTGTATAATATGTATCATACCTACCAATTACCTACCATTGTTGTGAAACAAATGAATAAAATCTTGAAAAAAAACCCCCAAAAAATGAAAAATTCTTGCAAAAAAATTGAACCTCAAAAAAGTTCTTAAAAAAATCCAGCATTGTAGACCGCCCGAAAATTCAGTCTACAATTTTCGCAAGACAAATATGCCTTTCTGGTGCAAACTGTTGCACCTATAAGGTATACTTGTCTTAGCCTTGAAATCTGAAAATATTTAAAATATGTTCAGGACAAGGCGCGTGGCAAATGGATCCAATGTTCCAACATATTTTACGGCGGTTTGCAATTGTAAAAGCTGTTATGACACCTGGATGCATTTTTATTATGCGACGTGTGCATTTCTTTATTTTGGTTTTAATTAACGCATCATTTCGCTATTATCGCGCGCATAAATGCCAACGCGCGCACTTCATTCTAATTAGCATGCACTGAATTTCACGTGCCCCTAGTTTTACCTAGCATGCAACTTAGCGCGTTTAATTTTAAGCATGAAATTTCGCGCCCTTAATTCTAATCAACATGCACCTTAATTTATTTTGAATGATCTAGAGCACACGTTACTATTTGCGCATGAAGTACACTCATCGACTGTACTCCGCATTGCAGCAGCACGCGCGGCGCGGCTTATGTTAATTAGCTGCGTTCGACCAAGCTTATGTTTGAACATAGCAAAACAACGCGAATGCAACATGGCAAACATTCAACATTGCAATAGGGACCATACATAAACTTGATCTGCAGAGTGTTTTCACGGTGGTCATGTTTGGGGACAAACTTAAAATGCCAAAATTGATGTAAAAAAATTGAGAAAACCATCTTTTTAAACTATTTGTCCGTCAACAAAGCAACACATGAAAACACCCTATTTTTTCCTGGCGGTCTTTTCAACTAAAAACTTATGGTAGAAGTTACAAAGCGCGCGCAATGCGTTAGCAACCTAAAGAAACAATTCCGTCTCCACTTTGGGGAAAGAATTACATTTCTTATCATTATAAGCCCCTAATCCAAGAATTTTAGGCAGAAAACATGTTTCTTTTTTGTTTTGTTTTTTCCTGCAGTGAGTATTCCTGGATTATTGTTGCTTATATTCAAAGTGGCTTTTGCGCGCTTTTCATTTTTTTTTTATTTTCTTCGCAATTTTTCACTTCATTTTTTTTCATTGCTTGCCACTTTGATTTGGACACTATGAAGTATTTTTCAACAAGAAAACAGATTCCATTTTCGTGCTGTCTCAAATACTTTACAGTAGATTACTGGCGCAAGTATGGTGAAAATATGAAACTTATAGTATATAAAAAGGCTCGTACCCGGGCTCTTTCCTCTACGCTCCTCGCTCGAGAAGCGTCTGCCTCCGCAGGCCCACGTTGCGTCATGGGAAGGTCACGCGACCTTCCCATGACGCAACGAGGGCCTGCGGAGGAGGTACGAGAAGCGTAGAGGAAGAACCTGGCTGGATACAAGGTTCGCAAAACCGCTCTAGTTTCTAGCTGCCTGACCTTCCTAACTACGTTTGAAAAACCTGCAAAGGAATGCCCCCGAATGTGTTGTCTCGGTCATGCCCCTAGCTTAACTTAACCTAGTGTGGATCGGACCTGGTGAGCTTCCACAAACGGGGGTAAGATTTGCATGCCCTATGGTAATTCCATGAAATCGATGAGCCACCATATATACATTATATCAGAGAGGGGACCTAATCTCTGGTAGCGAACTGTTTTCATGTAACCCGGGGCAGAAAACTAACGTTCGAAACCAGCGATGTGCATGCACTACGGCCATAAAATATATCTATTTATCTTTACAACAATTATTACAGCCGGCCTAGGCTAATATTCCAAGAAACCGGAGTACCCGGGGAAAGCCAACAGCGAAGAATCCACCATCCACCAATCTTCTTACAGGTACCATTTGTACCCTCTAAGCTATGGATACCATTTGCACCCAGCTTACATTATCCTACACACAAGAAAAACCATGCCAGCCTCCCAACTTGTCGGTAAAATTTCACTCGCACCTATATGTTACGCACACAAATATATAGGTCATGTAACGGATAAAGATTAAGGTTAGTATAGGGTTAGATTTAACCCGAACCCGAACCCTAACCATTACATGACATTTCTGTATATTTGTATACGTAACATACAAGTACAACCAAAATTTAAGTCTGACAAGGTTTTACCTGTCTTCCTGTTCTAGATACTAGATGCGCGCTGCGTTTATTCATGCACAGACACCTAAGCAGTACATTCACACGAAGAACAGAACATTGGCACAAGTAGACAGCGAATAGCTAGTGGATCTCACTAGGAGTTGCTAGAGTGAAAAATAATGTTCACTCTTTTTCAACTTTATGTAGTAGTCTTGTATTTGGAGCAAAGAATTGAAAGGTATATTCTAATTTTCTTGCCCCTATAAGTATCAAAATTCTGAAGTTGATCATGACTTGTTGTCATTGTAACGCTTAGTGAAACCCACTAACAACCGAACCGAGTGCATGCAACAACCACGTGACCGAAAGCTCAAATGTTAACCTCTTTAAGATTGATTTTCGATCGAGATGTTATAGGAAAATTATGAATAACTGTTTGAGGTGGAAAACCTCGATGGTTTTTGTTAGCATGCAAGCATCTGAATGGAAAATCAACCTTGTGTGCAAATGTACTGCTAATGACAGACCGCCAGGTGATTTTGAATTAGTTTAACCATAGACAATCCAGAAGACAATGTCTTCTGGATTGTCTATGGTTTAGCCCAGAGAGTTAACCGAACCACATGCAAATCCGAATTCTGGGTACGAATTTTACCGAAATTCTGCCTGTTAGCAGGCCAACTACAGCCTGTTAGCAGGCTACTAATCAAACCCTCTAACCTGAAGACAGACATCTCTTTAATCTTTGTGCAGCTTGTTACGAGGTACATTGGTAGGTAACCGTCGATCGCAGAGTACATTTTATCCACAATTGTTAATAATAATCCATAAATGTTCATAATGATCAATAAATGTTCATGGTAACCATTGATATCAAATACACGTCTGCGACTGGGCCTCCCCGATACCACAAATGACGTTTTGGTCAGTTTTAAATTTTTGGTTCAAAAAAATTATGGTAACTGTGAGCAACCATTAACTAGTCAAGTCATGAAATTCTTGAAAGATTAAATCTCAAAGAATGTTTATATTAAAGATATTTAAGCCAAAATCCCAAAGTCGGCATCAAAATGATAACGGGAAAACGCTGGGTAAAGCCATACACTGACAAAAAACTGACCACAAATCAAAGTTTGGTGGTACTTCCGCTCAATCTTTCCATGCCTACGGGCGAGCTGTCCCCATCTCATGCCACGAACAAAAAGCACAGACGCAAGGTTGGCCAAGCCTTACATTTGTGCTAGTTGATCACGATAATCGATCGGGAAAACTCGACTGTAGGTCGGGAAAAGTCGGTGCTGAAGTATCATCAAACCTCGACGAATGGTCGGCCACTTATCCGGCATGATTTTGCCTAGCGTTCAAACCAAATACCAAGTTGATGTAAACTCCAAAATTTCATTTCAAATATCTTTCAAATAAACAAACTTCCAGATAGAACCTTCCGAATTTCAGATGAATTTGATTCTCACAAGTACAAAGAAACGTATGAAATTCAAAAAAGTTTAGAAATTATAGAAAAGGTGCCATGTTAGGAAATTTGTTTTGTGCATTTGGGTATCCTTGGGGTGGCCCCACGTACTTTCGAATACGACCAACGAGAATGATGTAGTAGGCATTCATTCGCTCTAGTCCATGGTGTGGCACACTGCCGGTTGACATCTCCACGACTCATTGTCGGTTGCGGTTTGACAAGTCTTCGTGTCCCATCCAGTCACATACACGTGGTAAACCAAACGAAATCCAATCCAATGGCCGTGATGCTGGCTGTATCTGTCTAATAATTTGGACTTTCCATTCTGCAACGTTGTGCATGAGGTGACAGTCTCTGACGTGGCATCAGTCATGATTCGACATCCCCAGGCGCGAGTTTGCAACCTCTCCCAAATTTGGCACAGCTGAAATCTGACAACGCTAATGCCGATGATTAGCATGGTTAGCCAGTGTACTGCTTTTGCTCTTTATTCTTCTCATGGCTAACAAAGCATCATTATACAAGCTCTCTAACCAAGCGAACAGGCTTTTCTTCAATGTCCGTCGATGTCGCCTCCCTGATTGTCGGCAAGGAAGTCTGAAGAGGAAATGAAATTTATTAATTTAAATAATTTTTGTAATGACAATTAAACAGGGTGCGGCTGCTCAAATTATTAACTCAAACATTGTACAAAAATTTCAACTAAATAACACTAAAACCGTGATAAGCTTAACATCCTTTTGTGCAATTTGTACATAACATGCGCCAAAACGGCATGATGCACGAGGCGAACTGAATATGCCTGAAAATATGATTCGGCGTATTAATTTTCGCATGTCACGGACAAAATGTTTAGTGAAATTTACCAATGAAACCAGACTCATAATGTTCAGAGAGCTTTAGCAATGATACGAGATGTTCTATAGTTGCGAAAAAGCGAGAAACAATTTGAACAAACAAGAGGCAAAAGCCTTTAATAATGGCCATTTAGCTTACCACGTGCTCGAGCCTTCAACAGGGCGGCAACTTAAACCAGCTATCTTTCTCTTCAATTTTTTTCCCTGAAATTGCAGATAAAACAAATATGAGTTATATAAATCACAGCAGGGTTATTTCTGAACATTATTGCCAGAAAATGTGGGAGAAATACTACGGAAATGAAGCGACGAAGCGAGGGCGAAACGCTTGAACGGGTAGCCAAGTAATTCGATGAATAGTACACGTGCCGTCTCAAATAACAGCTATAACTTAACAAGAACAACTCATAAACGTTTAGAAGATAACTAAATGTAATACTAACCTGTTCTTCGGCATGGCATAACCATTTTAGGTCGAAAAAGTTCCTTAAAGATGAAGTTCTGGACTAACTTTTCGATGTGTACTTTGATAAACTTCGAGTCAAAATGACGCCCAAATTTGAGAATTTTTTTTTTAAATATGCAGGGTGTCCCCGAAAAAACAAAAACTATTGAAATAACGTATTGTTAGAATTTGAATGCCCTAGCTATATGAACGCATCTTTATGCTATATGAACGCATCGTAAAATATTGACAGGGTGCATATATTATAAATATTGACTTATTAAGAAATTAAAGTATCCTTTGTATAGCGCACGAACGATTTTCTGCTCATGGGAATAGTAAAACACTTCTTAAACAGTTTCTTTATGCATAAAATTTACTAAGTCAAGCTTTTATGCACTTGTGGGATCAGCAGAGCGCTGAGGCATTCAAATTCTAACAATTCGTTATTTCAATAGTTTTGCTTTTTGGAACCCAAAAACCCCGAAACTATTCAAATAACGTATACAGGGTGTATAAAAAAAACCCGCAACCTCGGAATTTCCTAAGAAATCACTTTGCAATTCTTAAGCATAAAAGATTTTAGGCCCCTGGGAATTGAAATCGAATTGCTAATAGATCATATTGCTGTTGTTGTGATTAACTCGCGTGTGCAGTAATTTTGACAGTTGTAAATTTTGACAGTTGTAAGCTTGACACAAGTAAATTTTATGCATAAAGAACTGTTTAAGAAGCTGTTTTAAATCTCCAGGAGCAGAAAATCATTTCTTAATAAGTCAATATTTAGAATATATGCACCCTGTCAATATTTTACGCATCTTTGCATTCATATAGCTAGGGCATTCAAATTCTAACAGTACGTTATTTCAACAGTTTTTGTTTTTTTGAGGGACACCCTGCAGTTTAACAAAAAATTTTCTCAAATTTGGGCGTCATTTTGACTCGAAGTTTATGAAAATAAACCTCGAAAAGTTAGTCCAGAACTTCATCTTTTAAGGAACTTTTTAGATTGCCAGAGATCGAGAAACTAACCCCTACTGTGTTACATCGCGCATATTTAATTAAACTCGTCTCAAATATCATTTTATCATTTCTAAAACTATCACACTCACTGACACACGGCACGTTCTGCATGTGCTAGCATTTGAAGGGATAGCTTCTGAAAAACAAGATGCTGGCCTCATCAATCACACTAGTTCTACTCAGCGCAGTGCTACCGGCTTTTATGGGTAAGAGTTAGATGGATTTTTAAATAAATTACGCTTAATTTTGCATTTCTGTAACGCGCAAATTTTTGAGATTTGCCTGTTATAAGTTATAACATAATTTGCTTTATTCTTCGTAGCTCCCACAAGAAAGCCAGATGTGCCTCTGACCTCGGTAAGTTACTGAATATAACAGACCTCTCAACTTTGCAGACTGAGTTAAGAGTGAGATTGGGGATGTGGATGACACCGCAAACGTCCGGGGGTCTGAAATGGCATTTCGTACATTATGAGAGTTGGTGTTTTTTAATATAGTGAAATACGTCATTGCTTCATATAATGCCCTTTAAGACAAGGCACTTTTAATAGTTACAATAACTGTATTTCTGTGATATACAGTAATGAGCTTTAATTTGCCTTTGATAATTTACATATCGAATTCTGCTCCGACTGATCATCTGTCTTTTGTCCGCCGTATTTACATATGCGTACTATTTTGTACCCATGCAAATTGCGGGCAAAAGCCAAAATGTCGGGCCGTATAAGTGCAGGAACAATAACACGCGATTATATATTCGATTCGCGATCCGTATAATGATTAATAATGTGCATTTAATTAAGAATACAATATTATATTATTGAAAAAATACTATGAAACTGCTATATGCGTGAGATTTACTAAACGTGGCGTGAGAGTGAAGCGAATTGCGTGTCATTAAAAACCGCTAAAACGTCAACGTTTTTATGAATCATGGTTAGGAAAAAGCAAGGAAGTTTCTAACAAAAATCACTCCTTCATCCCATTGTATTTGTGTTTTCAGATGGTATTAATTGTTGCAAAAAATTATACAGGCGCATTGACAATTAAAAGCAACAGCCTATAATGCCATTATGCTTGCCACGTGCTTGCAGCCTTCGTCAGGTCGGCGACATCACAGGCGGCTTAAATCAGTTAACTTTCTCGTCGATTATTTGCCCTGAAACCGAAGGCAAAACTATTATGAATTATAGCAATCACATGCAACTGGGGTATTTTCAGAGTTGCAAAATAGCTACGGAGTACGGGGCCTACGGGTATGCGGGCCGTTGGCGTACTACAGTATATCCGTGAGAAATGTTTACCGTATATGCGAGGTCGGTGCAAGGAAGGTTTAATGTGAAACACTCGACTTTCGTTAGCAATCGTAATAGATGATTCCACCCATAGACTAAATTTTGATCTCGGCAAGAAGAACAAAATCCATCAACATAGCTAGAAAGAGCATGGTAAAATTACTAAAATTGCAAAGTTTGGCCGCGAAATGTTGTAAAATGCGGGGAATTTTGCGCTGCCAAATTTGCAATTTTGTATTAATTTAACGTATCACACGCGCGGGAAAATGCACCACATTTGGGCCGAAAGTGGGCCACAATTTTTATCACACCATTCCTTGGCTGTGGCATTTCAGACTCAATCAGTCAATGCAAAGACCTTACCATATACTTAGGGGCCGATTACATGGAGAACTTTCAACCCCGGGGTTGAACTCAGCCCTGTTAACCGGGTTGAAATTTGCGATTACATGGACGATTTCAACCCCGGGGTTGGTTGAAACGCTATAGCTACTATACATTCTCGGCATCGATTCCCGGAAGTAAAAAAAAGCCTTTATTTTGTTTTCTTGTAATAAATAGTCACTACCACGCATGCTCGAATAACTCATGATAATTTCAGCCCTGGGTTGAAACGATTACATGACAAAATTTTCAACCCAGGGCTAAGTTCAACCCGGTTGAACTCAGCCCTGGGTTGAAAATTTTGTCATGTAATCGCGCGTTTGATTTTGATAGAGTTTTGTATTACAGACAGGGCTGAAATTTCAACCCGGTGTCACAGGAGATTCGCCCCCCCCCCAGGAGATTCGCCCCCCTCTCAAAAGGGGGGCGATATTCCTAGGATATTCGCCCCCCCGGGGGCGAATCTCCTAGGAATATCGCCCCCCAGTGGGCGAATCTCCTAGGAATATCGCCCCCCTTTAGGAATTTCGCCCCCCCCCATATAGATTTTGAATTTTTTATCTAAAAACAAAACGATTGCAAGTTGAAAAGATTTGTGTGATTTATTTATTTATTTCATTGAGGTACTTAGACTAGTGTCATATTCTACACATCTAAAGTGGAACCATTGCCGACTGAGGTCGCATAAAATCATGTTGTCGTATTCTTCTGGCAGTTTACATAGCTAAAACTAGCTAAAAGCTTTTTTGAAACGTATATTATTGGAGTATTGCCTATTGGCAAGTTCTAGCCTTCGCTTCTGAGATTTACAAACTATATTGAAATAATGCAAGTAAAAATAATGACAACTTATATTAAAGCCATACATTTTCCGATAACGACAAAATATGGATGCAAAACAATACCAATAATTACAATAACCACCACGGTGATTACTTTTTAACAATGAGTTTAAGGATTAACACTGAAAATGCAAAATATGCATGGTGTGCTGTGAAGCGTCACAAGTCCTATTGATCTACTGTAACTGTGTATTAAGCCCTTTTGATACATGTAATTGTAAATTTGTATTCTTACATGGAGGGCTTGAAATAACGTTCCCAAACTTCCCGATCATGGTGATCGGCAGTCATGACTTTCCCTGCTTTTTCCAGGTTGGAAACCGAAACCCTGCTTTTCCGCCGATCATAAGCAATTCCTTTCCGATCATTGATCGGTGATCGGTTGTTATTTCAAGCTCTGTCTTAACAATTTTGAATTGATACTGATTTCAAATTATTAAAGCCATGTAATAATTATCCCATGCAACTGTTAGGAGGGGCGAAATTTTGAACGGAGGACGAAAATCCTAAAGAAAAGGTGAAGTTTCCAAAGGGGGGCGAATTTCCTAAAGGGGGGGGTCGCGAAATTCCTAGGATTTTCGCCTCCCTGGGGGGGCGAAAATGTAGGGGGGCGAAAATCCTGGGACACCGGCCCCTTACAGTTAGACAATAAAGATATAGTCTGTAATGCCGGATTTTTCTGTGTTGGTGGAATGTACTCAGGTGAATATGATGCTTGTGATGTTACTCTGAGTGTATATCCACACCGGGAAGCTTGAAAAATATGCCTGACCACGGTGGGAATCGAACCTAAGACCTTTGGAATACCACTAGCCCAATGCTTTGCCAACTGAGCTACGCGGTCAGATCGGTTCGAGTATGTATGTGATATTTCGGAACAGAATCTAGTTCCTTCGATATCAATGTAATCTAATAATCGGTAATGATTTTTCTATGTTGATGTTAATGTTATACATTACACCAACACAGAAAAATCATTACTGATTATTAGATTACATTGATATCGAAGGAACTAGATTCTGTTCCGAAATATCCATAGATATCTTACATACACTAGATAGCGCATCTCTTTTAGTAAAATTGAAGCTAAGAATACTCCAGCGGTTACCCCCATTTGAATAGATGGCGGCCATGTTGGTCGTTCCCACTTGCTAATAAACGCTTAAAAACAACAATAACTTTCATCATTTGAATAGTTTAAAGACGTATTTGGAATAGGGTTAACTTAATGTTTAAGTTCCCTGTTTAAGAAATAGAAAACATACGAATCTTCTCATTTCATGGGAACGACCTGAGACTGCAATCACGGCTTCAATTTTTGAATTGCAGAATAATTAGATGCACTATCTAGTGTATATAAGATATCTATGGAAATATCACATACTCGAACCGATCTGACCGCGTAGCTCAGTTGGCAGAGCATTGGGCTGGTATTCCAAAGGTCGTAGGTTCGATT